TAGCAAAGGAAAACCAGTCTCTTCTTGGCTTATATTGAAATCCTCTGACATTCTTCTTTACAAATCCTCGTTTTGTACATCGAATTCTTGACTGTTGTTTTGTTTTAATCTCTCCGCTGCGTTTCCGCGTGCATCACTTCTGAGCGGCGCATGCGCAAAGCCGACCTCATACGTCATTTCCCCGGAACTGCTTCTGTTTACAACAGTGAGCGCAAGCTAGATTCAAGTGATTATTAAGTTTTGAATATGGATATTTTTCTTACAAAAACGGATGGATCCGCTACAGAAGGCCTTTGTTCACCCCCCGGAGCCGTGTGAGACACTTTTTTTTTTATGGATGGGCGATTTTTATTTAAGTTATTTTGGACTGAAGCAATGCAACACCCGCTGAGTGGCATTAAACAGCTTGAAAGATCAAAGACAATTTTTAATATAACTCCGACTGGATTCATCTGAAAGAAAGTCATATACACTTAGGATGCCTCGGGGGTGAATAAAACGCAGCCTTATTTTCATTTTTGGGTGAACTAGCCCTTTAAGGAATTTGCTAAAGCCTTGCTGACTTTCTGTTCATGGTCTGTTCTGCAGGGTTGTCATATGCGAGTCACACAGTGGGCTTCACCCCGCCAACTACACTGACCAGAGCAGGCATGTCCTACTACAACACACCCGGCCTACATGTCCACGTAGGAGCCTCACACAGCATTGCAGTGAGTTCCTTCTGAGCTGCACCATCATTGCTGTCTGGTTTTTCCCTTTCTCTCGCTCTCTCAAGCCTATCTACCTAGTGTGTGTGTGTGTGTACTATACTTGTGCAAGTCTGGTTTATCTAAAGTGGCTGTATGTATACACAAGCGTTCACATCAAAACTAACATCACGTCACACTAAGAAAAAAAAAGTGGTGCAGTTAAATGTTTTAATTTGAACGAACAACTGTTAATGCATCTGTTAAGACAGTCACGGATATATGCATGCTGTCAATGTGACTGTTTTTTTTTTTTTTTAAGTAGAGTTCTAATCGCTTTTCACTTTTGCACTACATAGAAAACTCACCAACAAATAAGATTTGGGATTTTGGTCACATGCCCCGAACCACAGCTGTTACATAAAACTACACTTTGGTGGCTCATGAACAAGAGTATTTTGCTAAGTGACAGTCATTATCAGTGGAAGAATCTAGAAATTGCTTCCTGTTGTTTGTTAAACATCATAGCGAATACAACATTTTCAATGTTTGTTTGAAAACATGTAAATACAGTTTGACTGACTGCCTTCGTGACTGCTGCTTTGTGTACTGGAGTAACAGCATTATTTCTGCGTATTGTAATAATACATACTATTGTCCTGTAAAAAATAAAAAGCAGCTTTTAATAATCATTATAATAATATAATGTAATATAATATCAGTATTAATAAAATTGTTATTATTTAAGTACCTGCCAAAAGTTGGGAAACATTACAATTATTAATGATTTTGAAATAAATCTCTTCTGCTCATTTATTTGATCAAAAATAAAGTAAAAACAGCAATATTGTGAAATATTACAAATTGTGCTGCTTCATATTTTGTGTGGAAATGGTGATACATTTTATTTTTCAGGATACTTTGATAAATATAAAGTTCAATGAACAGCATTTATTTGCATTTATCAAATATATTTAATTTATTAAAGCATTTATTAAATAAAAAAAATCTTGAAACATTTTAAATGTCTTAACTCCACTCACTTTTCATCACTTTAATGTATGATGAATAAAATTATTAATTTCTCTTTTTTTTTTAAATCACAAATGTTTGAGTGGTATTATGCTCTCCACATAAATGTTAAGCAGCAAAAACAGTTCTTAACATTGATAATGATAAATAGTAAATGTTTCTTGAGCAGAAAATCAGCATGATTTCTGAAGGATCATGGGACACTGAAACTTCTCTTTATAAACAACAACAGATTTATAAATGATTCTAATGACGAATGTTGCGTTCCCCAATGCAAATGAAAGCGACTCTACACAGCTAGCATTTACAGTGAATCGACACTGAAAACACAGTACTGTTACAGCAGACATATGTGACCCTGGACCACAAAACCAGTCTTAAGTCGCTGGGGTATATTTTTAGCCAAAAAAACATTGTATGGGTCAAAATTATTGATTTTTCTTTTATGCCAAAAATCATTAGGATATTAAGTAAAGATCATGTCCCATAAGATATTTTGTAAATTTCCTACCGTAAATATATCAAAACTTAATTTTTGATTAGCAATATGCATTACTAAGAACTTCATTTGGACAACTTTAAAGGCAATTTTCTCAGTATTTTGATTTTTTTTGCACCCTCAGATTCCAGATATTCAAATAGTTGTATCTTGGCCAAATATTGTCCTAACAAACCATACATCAACATACAGCTTATTTATTCAGTTTTCAGATGATGTATGAATCTCAATTTCGAGAAATTGACCCTTATGACTGGTTTTGTGGACCAGGGTCACATATAGCGTGTCAGACTGTAGCCTATATTTATATAATTACATCACAACCGTTGTGAATTTTATGATAGTACTAAGCAATCTCAAATTCTCACCACCATTTATAAAAAGTTACCAGGCGAGTAACATGCTTCAGCGCTGATTCTACTCTCATTTGGCGCTTTGAACCCTTTTAACTGTCCTGCAGATGGCGCCGCGAGCTCGTACAGCACTCTTAGGAACATTCTGTCCATGATGTATTAGAAAACATAAACTTTTCACGGTTTACTTAGTTAACTGCTTAAAGGGTTAGTTCACCAAAAAATGAAATTTCTGTCATTAATTACCCTCATGTCGTTCTAAACCCGTAAGACTTCCGTTCATCTTCGGAACACAAATTAAGATATTTTTGATGAGTTTTGAGATCTCTCTGACCCTCCCATAGACAGCAATGTAATTACCATGACCATGGTCCAGAAACGTAGCAAGGAGATCGGTAAAATAATCCATGTGACTTCAGGGGTTCAACCGTAATTTTACGAAGCTAGGAGAATACTTTTTGTACGCAAAGAAAACTTTATTCAACAATTCGTCTCCTGAGCGTCACCCTGGTGCCATTTTGGAGAGTATCCACTGAACGTAAACAGCGTATGCTATTCTGTGTCAGCTGCGTCACGCGGATACATTTTCTACATTGTTTACGCTTTGATTTGAACAAAAACAACGTATCCACGTGACGCAGCCAGGTCACGGAAGGTTACTTTTAGTGAAATGTATTTCACCTCAGATTACAAAATACATGCTTTAAAAAGTAATCAGTAATGTATTTCGTTAGATTACTCAGGTTTAGTAACTTAATCTAAATATCTTAGAATACTTTTAAATACTTAAGCTATACACAAAGGAACATATTAATGTTTTGTTTTTTATGTTTTCCAACTCTAAATAAAAGTGAAATCTACCAGTCATAAGATTTGCGTTTTCCTTGCATTTTATTTTTTAACAACACAGCATTTCTATGAACAACAAAAAAATGTTGTGTCATTTAAATCTACTAATCAATATAAATTCAATTTGAATATAATGAATGGGATTCTGTGCTGTTTCATGCTGCATTCCAAGCTTCAAAACGAATCCAAACACACCAAACATATCATAAAAGTAGCCAAAACAACTGGCACAGTTCTCCAAGTTATACAATAGATTTGTTTAATGAATGGACCAAACTTTAAGTGATTACTTCACTGATAATCCTCTCTATTGAGAAGCGATCGGCACAAAAGAATCGCTGAGTAATTGACAGGGCTCGTTTCCCAAAGCAACTACGGTCGCAAGTAATGTCGTTATAGTTCAATGTAATTTAACAAACACAGTTCGCTAACGATGCTTTTGGGAAACACACCCCAGATCTATCCAGTTTAATGTGAACCATTCACACTGGTTTCGTTAAACAAAATAAATTATTCATTTAAAAGATTGAATTAAAAGAATCATCTGTTCACAAATCGGATCATGAATTTGCATTGTTGAACATTTCGAATGAATGAAGACTTCAGGTTCATCTGTAAAGCACACAAAGCTATCGTTTGACTTTATAAACTTTTGTTTCATGCATGATTCGTATGGATCTGTTAACTGAATGCAAAGTGTGAATTCTAGGAGAATTTGTTGTTATTTTTCAATAAAATTCTTAGAAATATTAAATGTAAATATAGCTGCCAGCAGCGATGACGGGCCCAAGCCATCAGTGCAACCGCCACCCCGGTGGCATCAAGAAAACGGTGCACAGTGGGCACATTCAGTTACAGTAACCCTCTGGCAGTCTGATTTTAAGGGTTACAGCAATTAAAGGGTTAATCAAAACTATCAAGACTGTGAAACACACATACACAGAACAATATATAAAACTTTAGTAACACTTTACAATAAGGTTTCAGGTATTAACCATATTAATTAACATGGACAATAATTATATAGCATGTATTAATGTCAGCATTCAAAACTTAAACACTAAAAACATTGGTAACACTTTATAATAACTGCACACTATGAATCATTAGTTAAGCATTAGTAAATAGTCAATTCATCCTTTATAAAGCATTGTTCCAAAATTAATAGGCATTAGTAAGCAGTTTATAAATACAGCTATAAATGTTTTGTTCTTGAGCATATCTATAATGTTTAATAATTGTATTTTCATACTTTATTATTGATCAATTTATCATTTTTAATTTATTACGTTATTTACAAACCAGTTATTTAGGAGTTCATAAGATCATTTAGAAAGTGTAAGTAAATGATTAATAAACTGTTTAAATGTACATTTATAAATCTTATTATTTAGACATGATAATAGTTGCTCAGTGTGTTAATAAATGCTTTAACAATAAATATTCCTACTGTAATTCATGATTAAGTCAGGTAGTTATAAAACATTTAGTAGTTGCCAGCCATCTATTTTTGTGAGCTCATCTAAAGTGAGGACTATTTATACCTTGTAAAGCATTTACAAAGGAGATTTAAAAGCTCATTAATCTTCCAAACAGAAAAGTTAAACAAACACAACACAGAGGGATACAGAACACAAAAATATTTTTTCAAAATTGAAAAAATGAAACTGTACAACTGTTCATTTGATAAAAAATGAAAAATAAACCTCTGCAATTTCATAGAAAAAAATTCAAGTGTACAGTTTCGTTTTTCTTTTTGCATCAGGAAATAAATATTTCTGAGTTCTGTATCCCTCTGTGTTGTTAGTTTATTTTTTCTGTTAGGAAGATAACAGCCTTTAAATCTCCTTTGTAATAGATATGCTTAGAAATCAAGAACAAGGCATTTATAGCTGTATTTATAAACTGCTTACTAATGACTATTAATGTTGGCACAATGCTTTAGAAAGGATGAACTATTTACTAATGCTTACCTAATGATTCATAGCGTGCAGTTATTAGAAGTGTTACCAAATGATGTTGTCAGGGCCCTACAAATTAACTGGTTCTAGGATTTTTTTTGTCCCTAAAACTGACAGAAAAGGATAAGGCCTAAGAGATTTCTTAAGCTGTAATAGGGAAAAAAACTGATTTATTAAACTGAAAAATTACTGATTCTTTTTTTTCTGGTGATTAAAGAGATGTTTAAAAGTCTCGTCCATTTTTGTGTCGTGATGATGAGCGTATGCACTCTCACTATGAGTTGCTAAATAAACAGGCTGAACAGGATTTTTTTTTTTTTATAAAAATAAGTTGCCTTATTGGTTAAAATCCCCAAACTTAAATATTAAATTAAGAAATTACATTAAAATTCAAAGTAATCACTTTGGTAATCTAAAATACTTTTCGGATGTAATTTGATTACCACCTATTTAAAATGTAATTATAACGAAATATAGTTACTCATATTTTGTATTTTAAATACGTAACGCCGTTACATGTATTTAGTTTCTCCCCAGCCCTGGACGCAGCTGACACAGAATAGCATACGCTGTTTACGTTCAGTGGATACTCTCCAAAAATGGCACCAGGGTGACGCGGAGGAGACGAATTCTTGAATAAAGTCGTTATTTTTGTTTTCTTTGCGTACAAAAAGTATTCTCGTAGCTTCATAAAATTACGGTTGAACCCCTGATGTCACATGGATTATTTTACCGATCTCCTTGCTACGTTTCTGGACCTTGATCGTGGTAATTGCATTGCTGTCTATGGGAGGGTCAGAGAGCTCTCAGAGCTAATCAAAAATATCCTAATTTGTGTTCCGAAGATAAACGGAGGTCTTACTGGTTTAGAACGACATGAGGGTCTGTAATTAATGACATAATTTTCATTTTTGGGTGAACTAACCCTTTAAGGCCATTTTACCTTAAGCAGTTAATACGGAAGAATCACATTCCTGATAAGTATCACTTACTGTCAGAGAACGAATTTGCATATTCATTCAGGCCGTTTTAGTCTGAACAGACAAATAGCATGTGGACAATTTTCTTGTCGAACATTAGCATTGATATGAACAGGCCTTAAAGTAGCAGTCACGCTTTCGTTTTTCTGTGAAATTTTATGAGCAATATCCAGTCATTTATATTATAGGGTATTAATTAACTATATCTTGTGTATTCTTTTATATTTCTTCAATGCTGCTGGTCTCTGAGAGCTACCAAAAAAATGTTGTTGTATTATTATGACAATAAAGTATCTTAACTTAACTTAACATAACTATCGGTAACCATCAGGAGTTTTAAGAGACGGCAAAAACGTTCCCCACAAAGATTTCGCTTGTCTTCAAGTTTGGTCATGCAAATTTGCCACATGTACCTACAGAAAGCTGCTTGATTTGAAAATGACTTAAATATGAGCTGTACTTCATGCATCACAACAGTATTGACAATGGTCAATGGAACCTTTTTGCCCACCAAGTTTCACATTAATTTTGCCAATGTGACTGCACCTTAAATGGTTCACTTAACAGTTCTTTCAGGACAGCTTTCTGTAATTTTCTGCAGAGTCATCTGAGTAATTAGCAGTTTCCATGTATGCCTTGTCTTTACTTTATCTTGTTGTGATGTGTTTATTATGTGCGAAAGGTCATTCGGATTACATTTCAAACGTTTGTGACCTGGTGATCTGCAAAAACCAGCCTGTGTTTCCACTGATCTGACTCTTTTACTGCATAACTTGCCCACAAAACAACCATAGCTCATCATGGCCAAGTGTTAAGAGTTTTGAGCAAGTATTTTAACATCCAAGTCACTTAAATTCAGCATCACAAGCTGTTTTTGATGGAAAGTTCAGAAGTTAATATAATTTTAATATACATGTATACACAGGTGGCCACATTTTTGGAGTAATTAATGCCAACTCCGAATCAACACAAAAACGGCCACATTTTCTTTGTATGATCACATCATATAATCAATGCTTAAATGTGTTCCTGCTTAAATGAATACTAACTGCATGATTTGGATGATCTTAAAACTGTACATTTCTGCCATATACTGTAGATATTAAACATTCACCTTTGATAACAGAGCACTCTTAATTGTAATGTAGAAAAATTCATTTTCTGTGAAGCTGCTGTGAAACGATATATATCGTGGAAAGCACTATACAATTAAATGTGAATTGAACTGATTTATTTGATCAAAATTGCACTAAAAGTTGTAATATTGAGAAATATTATTGCATTGTAATAGAACTGTTTTTTATTTGAATACATTTTAAAATGTAACTTATTCCTGTTATGTCAAAGCTGAATTTTCAGCATCATTACTCCAGTTGTCAGTCCTGTGTCTTGTTTTGCTCCCCACGTGTTCCATGACCCAGTTTTCCCATGTCGATTGTTTCCAATTTGATTCCTGGTGTGTCTCGTCTTGCCCTGATTAAGTTGTTTATAAAGTGTGTTCTGAGTAGGCTTGCCGCGATAGTCGGTGCTGACGGTGATACCGTTGTTAAGCCGCAACACCGGTTACGTCACTTGCCCACCGCGTCACCGACCCCCACCGTCGTTTTGATTTTTTATAGTAATAAAAAATCATTTAGTTCAGTAAAAGAACAGAAACTACAATTAAAAACTGAACGCAGCTGCTCACTGCAGCGTGCCGAACGACAGTAGCATCACAGATCAGATTTCATTTCTCCAGAGAGGAGAGTGAGTCGAGCTGACTGACAAGAAGAGTGGGGTGAGACAGACAAGACGATCGCGGATGATTTAGTTTCGAAACGAAATGCAAAAGCGCCTGTTTGGCAAATTCTTTGGATTTTGAAAAGCCTGTTGACTTTTGCCGTTTATCTAAGGTGATTTTGGAAGTTTTTTAAAACATTCGTTTCTTATTTAATTGGTTCCACATTGTTTGCTGATTGTCATTTATTTATTTTATGTGACATTCGTTTTGCTAATAAACGTTCTACGTTTCTTATTTATTTGGTTATATATTATACGTTTACTTATTTCCAGTTTTGTATACCTATTAAACTTTATGTAAGTTATTTGTTATTTTATATTAGGCATAGCCTGCCCTATAGCATGGTGTATTTTTATTTGTTTTGTTAATAAAAGTTCTATGTTTTATATGTAGGCTAAAGTGAGTTTGACGTTGTATTTTGTTGTTGCATTCAAGCAACTGACGTCGAACTGCCGCTAATTCAAAAGTGAAAGTAAAATGTGCACAACGCTTTTAAGCTGTTTAAAAGCGAAGGAAAGCGAGGAAAAGGGAACATTCAAACGAACTAAAAACGAACAATTGCTTTACTCCGAATTGCCGCTATTTGAAAGTGAAAGTAAAATGCGCACACCGCTTTTACAAGCTATTTAAAAGCGAAGAAAAGTGAGGAAAAGAGGGATCGCCCCGCAGTGATACCGGTATTACCGGTGTTGTCACACGTCGATTAACCGGTGGGAAAATTTCCTCACCGTCACAGCCCTAGTTCTGATTTTCCTGTCCGGTATTGAATGTCGTCTTTCCTATTGAATGACGTCTTTCCCCGCTACGTGTGTGTTCCTTGTTCCCTTGATGTCCATTAAAGTCTCTTTGTTTGAAGTATACTCCACGTCTCCTCGTTCCTCGCTCCGTGTTCCTCACAGTAGCGATTCGTGACACCAGTCTTCAGTGTCACATCATCCTTCTGAAATCATTCTAATATGCTGATTCGGTGCTCATTAATGTCTTATTATTATCAATGGTGAAGACTGTTTTTGTTGCCTAATGTTTTTTGTAGATCAGGTTTCTTGTGTACCAAACTTCTGAAGGATCCTGTGACACTGAAAGCTGGAGTAATGGCTGCTGAAAATGTTCACAGTATTACTGTTTTTATTTAATTTTTGGCTGAATAAATGCAGCTGTGGTGAGCGTAAGAGACTTCAAAAACATTAAATCTTTCAAAAAAAAAATCGTAATTATTCCAAACTTGTAAGCCAATGTAAGGATGAAATAAAGGGCACTCAATCCAAATAAAATAATTTTAAAATAAATGAGCAGGGAAAATAATGTCACCTGAGCTACTTAGCAGCACGACACAGGAACTGTACTTGCATGCCTAATGGTTATAAATAGGCTAACTTCAGCTCTTTTAAACATCAGATTTGTCATATTAAATGACATTTTATAAATTATTTATTGTATTTATTGTCCTTTCTCCTCCCACAGAGACCCTCCCCAAGAAGAAGCAACAGTCCAGACAAATTCAAGCGGCCCACACCCCCTCCTTCCCCCAACACGCAGCCTGGCGTCCATCCCCCGCCTCCCCCTCCACCCGCCGTGCATCCAACATCATCCCAGGCAGCTCCACTGCAGCCGCAGCAGTCCTTGCAGCCATAGATCAGGGACTTGAAACAGAGCTGCTTCACTGTAACATCCCTCAAGCCAAAGGCTTAACAATCCTCAATGTCTTCATTCTCTCTTTCTGAAACCATTCATCTGTGTTGTGCTCATAGTTCTGTGTTTGGAAGCGTTTTTGTGTCCACTAAAGATGGTGTGTGAGGTGAAGGCATTTCCAGCTCAGAGGGAATGAACATCTCTTCAGTGCATAGCATAGCTTTAGCAAGTACTTACTGCTTTGTCATCAGTGTGTGTCAAGCGATCTACGCCCATAGTGATCTCTTAGAAATTGCTTAGTCATAAACGGACAAAAAATACTATTGAGGAAATTGTGGTCATATATTTTTCAGACACTTTAAAAGTGTCATCCAGAGTGGTCCAGCCAGACATTACAGAAAGCCACAAGTGTGCTTCTGTACTCCAGATGGAATCGTGGTCAAAGCAGCTAATGGCCCTTTAAGGATAAAACTGGGCCCAATAACACTTTTGAATTCTTGGTTAATAATTCATAGGCTAGTGTCTCAGAAAGTGATAAAAAAAAATGAATCATCCTGCTTATGCAGTAATGCTTTTGGTAGTTTCTTCATAAATACATTTGGAAAGCAAGGCAGCAAAATATTTTGCATTAGTGATGAGTCTCCCAAAGAAGTGTCCAGGTCAAATTTCATACTAAAATCAAGAAGAAGAAGAAGAAGAAGAAGAAAAAAAAAACAATTATATAATTTTTTTTTTTTTTCATCATTGTAATGGGGAAAAAAATCTTGCAATAAATACATTTAGTTGGTGTATTTTTTTATTTTATTTTTTTAAGTGAAATATGACCTAGACAGTAAGTTACACCCTAGTAAGTGACTTTTTTTTTTTTTTTTGCAGTGTTCACATGAGACATGCGGTAGATGAGTTGGTGTTTTGTGGCTGCTGCAGATGCAATGTGTTGTTGGCATCTGCCAGACTTTAATCTTCCTGGTGGGTTCTAAAAGCCTTTTTATAATTTAGCAAGACACTTAAGACATTAAATGGTGTAGATTAGAAAAGACTAGTGTGTGTAGGTGTAGAGGGTTTGTCTTGGTATTTTATTACACTCACCTGTAGCTCTTTTCTGTTAAACAGTGTCTGGTACCACTGTGATATTTTTTTCTTACTTCAGAATATACTGACTTATAAAAATGAGTTTCGATAATTGTGAAAGGAAGTGAGTTAAAGTGTGTGTAAATAGACTTTTTTATGCTTTGCAAAAAAAAAAAAGCAAATGGGGGTCCCTTTTGAAAAGTGTTTTCTCCACTAGTTTGTGAGTTAATCTTAGACCCTCCTGTCATTGGTGAGCTTTAGTTTTCAACCATTTTCAGGATTCTCTCAGAGTTACCAAATAAATCGTAAATTGAGTTGAGTGCAGCTGAACATGCCGAACAACAGAAAACAAGGAAGCGCTTCTTATTTACTGTGAACAGCTATCATTTCCTGCAGATCAAAGTATACAAATGGTTCATTTCCTGGTACTAACCAGCGGGATTGCAGTTAGGTTGTTTGTGATAGGTTAGCTGTGGCCAGGTGAACACTAGGCCGTGTTGTTGAACGATATCTCATGAAAACATCACTGAGTTTTGCTGCAGCATCTGTGCTTTTCATATTTACTACAGGGTGTGTCTGTAAAGTCTTTTCTTTTCATCTTTTATTTTTTACCATGTATTCTTTGAGAGCACAATTCATTAGATTGAGCAGAAGAACCAGGAATATATTTCATGTTTCACTTGTGTTCACCTTTTTACTGTCGTCATTGTAAATACTCATGTCTTTGTATAGAAAAAGATTTCAGTTTTACCAGAGCTACTTTTTGTCCTTTCCAGCTCCACCCAGCTTTTATTTTTGAGACTGTTGACGAATGAATGTAACGTTTGCTCATTTTACTGCTATCATTAACAGATGGGCCACCTTTGAGCCTTAACTCACTGCGGTATTGCTAAATGTAAGCATCATCTAGCTTTTCCCACATTATATCAAAGCCTTAATATGTGGTTGTGGAGTTACTCAGTGATTAGAAGCACATTTTGGTCCATTTTAAGCAGGTACAAGTTGTGCATTGCATCATTCGTAAAGCAAGAACATGCTACATTATGTAATGGTTATTTTGGTTATTAAAATGATGATCGTAACTGAAGATCTCGAATTGATGTAAAAACTCATGACCCTGCACTGTCTTTTCAAGTATTTCTTTCCTTTATGAAGCTAAAGCACTTTTTAAGTCACTCTGGATAAAAGCATCTGCTAAATGCCTTAAATATAAAAGCTTTGACATGATTGAATCGCATTGCAAATGCACCACCTTTTCACTGTGTCAGTTGTCAACAGATGATATTGTTAGATCAACTTCAATTTCGCTGTTTCACCATGTTAAAAAAAGTAAAAGTTGCAACATAATTCACATAACATTTTCAAGAAGTCATGTATTCTTTGAGTATTTGAGAAATTTTCTGAAGTAGTTGAGATATTTTGTGGGAGTGCTGTGAGGAAACCTTTCTGGCAGCTTTTGGTCTTGTGATATATATTTTTTTCTTGTTCCCGCGATCTGTTGTACTGAGCTTTATCTTTGCAGTGCATTCCCGTTCAAAAAGACCTTGCTTTGATACTGTGAGAAAGTTAGCACACGAGCAACATGAGTGGCAGAATCTCCAGGGCCTGCTTTGATGAAGATGGATGATTTCAAATGTTTTTTTTTAAGTTTTAAAGTTTATGTTTATTTGTATGATCACAAAACGGATAGTAAAGAGATGGAAACTGCATGAGAATAGCTTGATCTTTTGATCTCTGCATGAGAAATGCAACAATACAGTATCCTGTTACTTTTCCATTTAAGGGTTGATATTTGGCCCCTGAATTAGTATGTACTTTCATTAAGGCAATTTTTTAAAACCATATAAAATAAATACTTCTAAATTAGTTGTCACATATACTTAAGTTTAATCAATTAGTTGTGTAAGGTAATCTCAATTTTGTGTTTATATTCCATAATTCTGACTTTTTTTGTCAGAATTGTGATATGTAAACAGAATTGAAAGATATAAACTCGTAATTTTGAGGGAAAAAGTCATAAACTCAGATTTCAGACTTGCAATTCTGAGTTTACGTTTCTGACTTTTCTCACAATTCTTTTTTTTTTTTTTTGCACAAAAGAAAAAAATAAAGGTAATTGTAACTGTTATCTCAAAATTCTGACTGTAAATATAAACTCACAATTGTGAGAAAAAAATAATATTTTACTTTGTGCTCCATAGAAAAAAAAAATATATATATATACACACACACACACACACACACATTATACAGATATACATATGTTTTTTTCTTTTTTGGTGCAATGACAAACATTCTAAATGGACTTGAAAAATATAAAGTGTAGACTATGGTCCCTTTGAGATGTGAAAGCAGGCAGATGATCCCGGTAACACGTGTCCCTGCTGTATTATCATCATCAACCGGTTTGGACTGGAACTGCAGCGCACATGCATGGGGATGCACGTGGCATGTGTTTACAATGCAATTTACAGTAAGAGAATTTAAATAAAAGCATTCACATTAAGCAAATGCCATAAACGCAGTCTACATACATTGTCCATGTCACAGAAAACTACCCTTAGGCTACCCATACTACACAGAGCGGATGGTTCCATTAAATATAGATTAAAGGCATTTAGATTTTCATCAGTCACTAAAAGTCTTTAAAGTGTTGACGGGAAATGATCGATGATGGGTTGACACTGCAGGAAGGCTGTGTTCATTGTCGGTGAATCAGAAAGCAAGTTAAGAGCATCGAAATGTGAAGCTGGACCAGCGAGAACAGCTTCAAACCGGTTTAAACGACTGGCAACAAAAGCCGGAGCTCGTGCAGAACACGCCGCACAATGATGAACGACGTTTCAGCTCAACACATCCGCAATCATTCATATAGTATCAGAGTGGTCATCTCACATTATGACACAATGATAAGACATTCCAAATCATAACGCAGGGTTGTCCAAAGAGCCAGTTCAACATCCTGGACTGAATTTACCACGGAAATCATCATTTCCCGGTCGGTGGTGAGGTAAGAATCAAAAGATTTCGTTCATCTCAATGAGATGTTCATTTGTTTTAGTAGCATATGATGTAATATACTGGATATTTTACTTCACAAACGTGTCTTTATATGAAACTTACGTCTTTGTGTTTCTTTCATTTTTTTATTCGTTTTTCCTCTGATAATAACAACAATTCTAAATAATAATACTAATTCTAAAGTTGTGTAAAACTAAAGAAAAGAAAACGATATGCAGAATATAGAGCAGTAATTTGAGTGGGGTTCAGGAGCGTTGCTCCTTAGGCAAGAAGTTAGGTTGAGGTAGAACTGCACAATACTTGAATGGAGATTGCTGAGCACCAAAAAGGACATAAAAAGTATTATAACAGTCATTCTTGAGACATGGGACAAAACAGGTCCAGCAAGGGTAACGTTGGGAGGTTGTATCAAAGCACAGCTCAGTAGCTTAGTACATATAAGATACATAAATGTAGTTTCATTTGTCTGAGTACAAGGTTTTATTTTTTCAATTTTGCACCCTGTTTTGTCCCACTTCTCAAGAATGACTGCTAAATGTGGTCCATTGTGCAATATGTCTTTTTGCGTGTGTAAAGAAATTAAAAGGTAACAGAATATCAGGCTGAACTGTTTCTTTACATTTGTTTTTCTCCACAGGAGCCCAGTGTAAACATGAGCACCTGGAACACTAAGCAAGCCCCAGACGGTGGATGGGGTTGGGCCATTGTGGTTGCCTCTTTAATGGGTCAGCTCCTGGCCTACGGTTCACCCCAGTCAGTGGGGGTGCTCTACCCAGAATGGCTGAACACCTTCCAGGACGGCAAAGGCATGACGGCGTTGGTCGGCTCTCTCGTATCTGGGGTCGGACTCATTGCTAGTACGTTTTCTACAGCTGCATTATGCTTAATAAATCTACTCTGCATAAACATATGCTTTCCATTGCATTTCCTCTTCATTGAATGTCAAAACTGGAGCAGAAACATTTTTCACTCAGAAAATTGCTTCACAATTAATTACAAAGAAATGGCAAGTAACACACTGAATTAAACATGACATTTTCAAGTAGAAAGATACTCCATTAGTCTTTTTGTTTGTTTATTTTATTGTTGTTTTATTGCTTGTTCCTCCATGTCAGTCGTAAAAGAAAATGTTTCTCATCCTCTAGTTATAAGACTTGACCTTGTTTTTCATTATGAAACTTCTTTGTCATTATTAAATGAAGAGCAGCGTGTCAAATCAATAGGGGTACAATTGTGGCTAATGATTTTCTGTTTGTGTCAGTGGGCCATTTGACGTCATGTCCTGTGTTTTCAGAAGTCAATCAAACTCTATTCTATGCCTCAGCTTACAGCAGATCATTTTAAGCAGCTATTGAATTTTAATTCGATTTTGAGTTTACCATTCTCTAACAGGATGATGCTTTGGTCCTTTCGCACAGGTCCCATCTGCAGTGCCTGTGTTGTGAATTTCGGGGCCAGACCCGTGACCATCTTCAGTGGGGTCATGGTCTCCGGAGGACTTATGCTTAGCGCTTTTGCACCCAATGTTCAGTTTCTCATATTTTCCTATGGGATTGTTGTTGGTGAGTTTCTCACATTTCCTAATAGAAAGATTACCTTTTC